AGTCACATTACCACAGTGCAAAGTCCTATTTCAGGAACATGAAAGTCCTATTTTGATACTTTTTTCTATGTTTTAGTCCTATTTAGGGTGATTTCTATTTTTTTATCCTCACCATAAAAAATGTGTAGTAGGAATGAAGATGACAGGGTACAAGTTGGCTTACCCCAAACATTTAGGTGGTTGAGAGAGGGATGGTAAAATGACGTCTAAAGATGATGTAATATTCATCCCATTATTGCCGAAGAGGATGACACGCAAGGTTACGACTCTAGGTGACGGCAAATTTGGTTACGTCGTTATTGGACTTTTGGTACTCTAAAAAGATTTCAATATTACATTTAACAAAATAAATTTTTTAATTCATTTTATTTAAATATTAGTAAAGAAATAAAAAATAAAAATTATATATTTAAAATTTTCATCAAAAATTTTAGAAAATATATTGTGACAAGAATATTTTATTTCATCAAAAAATCAATAAAAAATGAACATAAATTTTTAAATAATGAATTGTAGCAATTTTTTTGAGAGGTATCATCTAGGCATCTACAAATGTTGTGACTGCGTGCCTGATACGGTAGGTTGCTCAATATTTTTTGGATTATGCTATGTGTATCCCAAGATTTGTACCCCAATTTGTACCCTGCAGTTTTGCACCAACATTTTGTGTTGGTGTAAAACTAATTTTTGTTAAACGCACCGACATTTCTGTCCGTGTGAATTTTTATTAACGCACCAACACTTGTGTCGGTGTAAACCATTGAAATGTTTGTGCAAACCTGTGATATACAAATGGGGTTTATTTGTTGGTGTAAGTGTAGCATGGTCCATATTTTTTTTCCCATGAAGCACATATAGTGGTGACTAACGAGTTAAACAACTAGACCGCAATCATAAGGATCGTGAACTAATTATGAAAAAAATAACAGCTAGATAGACTTACATCAGAAAAGTTAAAGTTAAACCAAAGAAATACACTAAGGAGGAGGGTGTATCCAATTTAGATTTTTTAAGATTGTGTAAGATTTTTCATAATCTATGGATTCCATGAAATCTAAGGATTGTTTTAATTCTACATGGAGTTTGACAGATTTTATTGTATTTTATTATTAAGATTTGTTTAGATTCCAAAAAGTCTATAGATTGTTTTAAATCAATAATTGATTAAAAATTGATTATAATAATAAAAACATTAATTACAAATAGATACAGAACTCTCACGATTTACCATTGAAATAAAATGAGAATGAAGCAAAGAAACACATCAAACACATTTGTGATGGATAACCCTAATTTGGTAGATTTTTAAAAATAAAACTCCAACAAATGCATTTAAAGGGACACGATCTGGAATTCCCCAACAAATGCAACCAAATCGTAAGAGAGGAGACCACTCCCATGGCTGAAATTCTCCAACAAATGCATATAAAGGGACACATCCCTAATTTCATCCATTCAGCAGCAACTCCACCGAAACAGAGCAGCGACGTGAGAGATTTCCGCCTGCGAAATGTTCAATGATAGAGTTTCTCAATTTCAGCCGACCAGAGGCGAGGATGGAGGAGAGATGAAGAAGACGAGTGAAGAAGAAGAACGTCCGATGAAGAAGAAGCCCGAAGAAGAAGAAACGGCCGAAGAAGAAGTAACTGGAAGGAGTTTATAAAATCTTTGGTTTTTGGGTGAGATTTGGGAATGGATTTATATTTATACCCAATGCTTAAAAATCCATTAAAATCTACATTTTTAAAAATCTTTAAAAATCTATCAACTTTTTGAATACTATCATATTTAGAAAGACTTTTGAAAATCTCAATTGAATACATTCAGATTTTAAATGACTTTTTAAAATCTAAATTAAATACCTACAGATTTTCAAAATCCAAAAAAATCCATCAGAATCCTGATTGAATACACCCCCCTAATATTTTAATGATTCACACTGACACAAAAAACTAGTGCAATTAAAAAAATTGAACAAACATTTTGTCATCACCCTAGTATAACACTAGCACAAAAGGTGCACACATGTAGTGTATAATTTGGGGAACAAATTTTGAGGTACAATAGAAGAAATCACCTTAAATAGGAGTGAAACATAGAGAAAGTACCAAAAAAGGTATTCCATGTTTTTATTATCTAAATAGGAGCTTACACTGTAATAATGTGACATTGTACATAGGGGTGTGCACCGGTCTAAAATTGGACCAGACCGGACCGGAACCAAAATTAGCTATTTGTAAAGACCGAAGTCCGGACCTGTTGGCTACCGGTTCGGACCAGTCCGGGCCTGAATTTTTTGGTCTAGGTTTACTTCATTATGGACCTGATGGAAACCACTTTTTCGAGGCTTCGACCTGACGAACTCGGTATTGGGTCTGCACCACACCAAATAGCGAAATTGGGTAAATAGCTAAACAAATAAAGCGAAGAGAAAGTATTTATATGTGGAAACCCTAATCAGGAAAAAATCATGGGTCTTTTTAGGCAGTACCATGCCAAGGGGAGGAACTTTTATTAATCTCGAGTGAGTTTACATATACATGAATGAAGGAGCTTGGAGCCATTAATGGAGCTTCAAGCTCTTGAGAAGAGGAAGAACTATTATCACAAGAAAGAGAATATTGTAGGAGTGTATCTGTGTATGATCCCCCCTCCCCTTGTGATGTAAGTGTCCATTATAAAGAAGAATTGATGCATGCATCCCAACAATGCCATGGGATGGCCATGCTGCATCTATTACTTCCATTGTTCCCTCTTCACATATATGTTTTGGGACTCTAACTCAAGCTAGTGAACAATTTTTGTACAATGTTTCTAATATGCAGGAGCCAAGGAACTATAAAGAAGCTAAAGTTAATCCAGCCTGGCAGCATGCCATGAATCTAGAGTTCAAGGCTCTAGAAGATACTAGAACATGGAAATTCTCTACATTACCTAAGGGTAAGAAATCCATCAGCAGTAAGTGGGTTTACAAGCTTAAATTCAGATCAGATGGCACACTGGAAAGACATACAGCTAGACTTGTCATCAGAGGGTGTACACAGAAGGCAGGCCTGGACTATCATGAGACCTTTTCCTCAGTAGTCAAGATGACTACTATCAGAGCTTTATTGGCCACTGCTGTAAAGAATCACTGGACTATTTCCCAGTTAGATGTTAACAATGTTTTCCTACATGGTGGTTTAGATGAAGAAATTTATATGAAGCCTCCCCCAGAGATGTCTCTTCATCATCCCAGTCTGGCCCTCAAGTTAAAAAATTCCTTATATGGTTTGAAACAAGCCTCTAGGCGATGGTATGCCAAGCTTTGCTCTGTTCTAAGGTCCACATGATACATTTCTTCCAAAAATGACTATTCCCTTTTCTCCAAAAGAATAGGGCACTCTGTTGTTTATCTTGTTGTTTATGTTGATGACATCCTCATTATTGGGAATGATCCTGATGAAATTCAACACCTCAAAACTCACCTTGATTCAACATTCAAAACCAAAGATCTAGGTACCCTAGGATATTTCCTTAGCTTGGAAGTGGAATGATCCTTACCCAGAGAAAATTTACTCTGGATCTTCTTCAATCTTTTGGTTGCCCACTTTCCTCTCATGCTTCCTGTCCATTGGAACACAACCTTCAACTTCAGGCAAACTCTGGTCTCTCATTTTCAGATCCATACGCTCTATAGATGTCTTGTAGGCAAACTTAACTTCCTCACTGATACCAGACCTGACATTGCTGTTCAGTTTCTCAGTCAATTCATGCAAGCCCCTAGAGTGCCGCACTGGGAAGCAGCTCAACACACTCTACGCTACCTCAACTCAACTCCTTCACAGGGTCTTCACTTCAACAATCTTCTTTTTAGTTAGTTTGTTATCAATTTCTTAAGTTTGTTATGCTGATGTGACATTCTTCTCTTCTCCTTTATATTGTATTCTTTTCCTTCACAGTAAGAACAATGTCGTTTTCCCAATAAAAACTTTCTCTCTTTTCTTCTTCATTCTGTTCTTCTTCATCTTCATACATACTTCAATGATATCTGATTGAAATCAACATTAAGACCATCTAAGTGGAAGAGTAATTGGCCAAACAATGATTTTGATTGTTCTATTAGCCAAATATGTCAAAGTCAGTTATTCTCCGTATTAGACACCACTTTGTCCAACACTTACATTGACATGTTTGGAGGTCGATTATATGATACTCTAATATAAAAAATAATTTCAAGCATTTTTTTATATTCTAATTTATTAAACATCTTCAATCCTTTTTAAAAAAACATACCGACTGGTGATATTTTGTTTTTGATAAGGTAGATTTCTCCCGGCGTTTAAATGATGTCATAAGTTTAAGCTTAGATGAATTCTCGTTTAGAAAACTGAAGTAAAATTTAAAAATAAGAATTATATATTTAAGTATATAAAAAAATTCTACTCGCATATAATACAGAATAAGAGATAACTTGATTATATTATTTTATTAATATTAAAGAATCAATAAAAATGTGTCAAGAAAAACATATACTCGTAACTACTAATTTGAAAATGTTAATAGTGGATGAAAACCATATATTTTAAAATGGAAAAATATATTTTCTTCTTTCCCTTGTTCTCTACGACTTCATTTGGAAATATCGTTTGTGTTTGATATTAGCGTTTTGAGTAACACAAATTAACTTAAATATTAACAATAAAAATTGCTATACGATAAAATTTTTAAAATGCTGAAAGCAAACAAATAAAAATAATGTCAAAGGGGGCTTGAGTTAAAATGTAATGACTGGACAAATTTGTGCTCGCACAACTAATTTGATCCAAAGTAGAATGAATAATGCTACTTGCATACCACCAACTGTACATCATTCGTACATCAACGCATTGCAATGGTGTATAAGTGGTGGTAGCAAGTAGCACAATTGTAGTAGAATTGGGTAACACTATTTGCTATGTACGTTAAAATTACATTAGAGTTAAGGTGTTTCGATTTCGAATTTCCGAGAACAATGTTAAAATTACACTATATGCCAATTGGCATCCAACAATTCAAAGAAAATAATAACACTAAGCCAAAGTACTTGTAACAGATATAGAGTATAAAGGTAGTTCCAGGTAACATAATACATACAAGGGCAATGTTAGTTTCACCCTAAATTTGACATCAATATCCTTTTTTGTTGCACTGACACAACATGCATGTACTTCATTCATGTATGTGTGTGCGAACTAAAAAGTATATTAATGTCAAACTTGGGAGGAAAACATTTTTCTACATACTTCCATTCGTGCTTGGATATAAAGCGTAATTAGCAAATTTATTATTGAGGTGGCCTTACAAGTAGGAAGATGCGGTTATGCCCACTTCGACCTTCAGTAATACGACCCGTGTGTCGAAGAACCTGCAAGTCATTTAGAAGATAGCCATTAGCAAAGATCCGTCATACCCAATGTAATTCTAAGGTTGATCATAATGCAAGTATTACTTCATAGCACCCAAAGCAAAGAAGAGTACTCACAGTCAATATTGCTTTTCCTGTATTGTCAAGCTTTAGAGAAGGGCCTTTAATGTCTGACTCAAGAAAGAAGTGTCTCCCCTTAAAAGGTTCTGTAGCCGCAATATCTCTTAATTCCTGCAAATACACGAGGGGGTTCGATTTTAAAGCTTTATACAATTGTAAGATAATGAATATATATGTGCCAACTTCAGAACTTCTACGGGCAAAATGTTGGGTTCACTTACCATTGCTCTCTCCACAATATCCTCAGTCAACTGCATAGAAACAAATTTAATCATCAAATATCCATCTTCATTTCATTACGTTACACTTTAATACAATAAGGGTATGTGTGGATCATGAAAGGCAAAACATACTAGGAACTAAGAAAGAAAATGCAGACTGCAAAGTGCTAAGGAGGGTACTTTTTTATGTTTGTTTTTAACTTAGAAATGCAAAGAAATTGCAAGATGATTAAAGTTTTTTATTTTATGTAATGTTTAGATTTCTCAGCAGATAATAGGAATAGAAGAAAGGAATGAGTTTGAACAGATATAAAAGTAAACTTATTAAATACAATGTTTATTCCCCCTCACATTTTCTATCTTACCAAATTTCCCCTATATATTTCTCCCTATTTTATTTTCCTATCCTTTTCCAGGATCCAAACATGCCCTAACAGCAAGGAGCCCTTACTTTTTTTCTAGGGGCTGTAATAAGCTGGGAATTTGCTTCAGCATATGTTACAATGTCATTTATTGCTGCATTGACCTTATCAAGAGTGAGCCTCCCTCTCATGTACCTACATTTCACTTGCATCAGAGCTATAAAAAACTAAGATATGATAGGAACTACAAGAAGAGATAGAATCCTCTTACGATGGCAAGGAATTCAATTCATCAGCACTAAGGTACCACAACGGTGGAGAAGCACGACCCTTTTTCTCCTATAAAATGATTACAGACAAACAAAATACTCAGATTTGGTAAACAAACACAATTCCTTCTGGGTGGGATAGTAAGTGCACTGTTGGATCATGGGAAATGCCAGGGAAGGGAAAAACAATGCCAAATGATATTTCTAATGACTGCTTTTACTATGGAAAATGAAAAGGAAAACGAAATATCAGTGACATTATTTTTACATATATTTAGATTACTTCGTGTTTGTATGCATAAACGGGATTAAATAGACAAATAAAAAAGAATTTCATACATTATGGGATTAAGCAAATCAAGTTTATTGAGTTTGAGGATATTTTTACTTTCTCTTGAATTCTCTTTTCTTCCAGCTTTGTTTTCCACTGTACTCCCTATGAGTATCTTATTTCCCTAGCATTTCCATGAACAAAAATGGAGGTGGTTAAGAAGAGGTTATTACTCTTGGTGCATGCTCCTCAATTTTCAGAGACTCGAGACTCAAGTCATATGAACAAGAATCTTGTTGAACACTGGACATTAGCAAAAGCAAGAACAAATTAGACATCATAAATTTAATGTCAACATGCTTTTGAGTGGGAACATGCATTACCACTTAACAGAATCTTCTGTGGTGTCACTCATGTGAGTCATTCTTCCAGACAAATTCAATGGAACCTTGGCTGCAAGACTCTGTAGTTTCTTTTGTTGTTTCAATGATGCCTCTATCAGCTTCTACACTCACAATAAGTGCACACTTAGTTTCAGTCAAGACCCCTTTAGGAAGTTATAATTATTCGACACCCAAGATGTGCATAATTTTTTTTAATACGAGTAGTAACAAATATTTTCTACAAAATACTACTCCCTCTGTATCAAGTTGTTCTTCTCACTTTGACTGAACATGAAGGCTTAAAAAATGAAAACATTATGGTCTAATTTTATGCACAGAAAGTAAAAACAGTATGAATCACACGATACTTTCTGTAACTATAAACATGCACCATAAAATAAATCGACCAAAAGAAAAAAAAATGTACCCGGAGTACAACAAATTGGGACAGAGGGAGCAACTTCTTAGGCCTTTTTTACAATTAGTTGATTAAATTGAACTAATTGTAATAAGTTGAGTGTGCTGAACTATGGAATTGAATATAAATGCAAATCCTATTGTCAAAAATCAGATGTTATTACCTTTATTTTTTTTATTAAAACACAACTAAACAAATTATAGTTTTAGATAATTGAGAACAACAAATTATTTCAGTGAAAAATGTAATCATATTCAGGAACCTTTAAGCTGAATTTGTCTCTGCAAAACATGGAGTAAATGTAAAACAGCATGTTGATGATTGAATTCTAGAATACCAGATCGAAACTGAATGGCATCATTTACAAATAGCACAAGAAATATGAACCGAAGAGAAGAAGGATCGGAGGATACTTTGGCTTTGGGGATGGCTTCAGATTCTTCTCGCAGTCGGGTTCGGATCTTCTCAAGCTGGAGCTCCATTCCAGTGAGTGCCGAGTCTACTTCCGATAAATCGGGTACACTACCCGCTGGATACACTGCAAAATTCATTGGGAAAGTAAACAAGCATAAAAATAAGCAGATTCGAAAATGAGAAGTTTAGAATGCAGAGAAGGAAGAGATTCTTCAGTACAGAACTGTTTCTAGCGATGACGAGTTGCTGGAGTTCGGCGATGCGAGCGTTGAATGAGGAGATGAGCGAGTCCAGCGACGACCCGGCTTCTTTCACCTCCATTTTTTCCGGCGACTTTGTTGCAGGAGATTCCAAAATTGATACAAGAACTCTTACACTATGTTTGGTAAAGGAAGGGAGTAGAGAGGAAGGAAATGGAGAGAAAGGAAGTGGGAGGAAATGAAAACTTCCACAGGTTTGTTTGGTTGAAAGGAAGTAGAGGGAATGGAATTAACTTCCATTGTTTGGTTGAAACTTGAAAGTAATTAGGAAGAAAGTATGGAGTATTTTTGTAGATTTGCTTTACTTTAGACATTTTTTCTTGAAAAAAAATTCAATAATTTGTCTAATAATATACAAATAATTAAAAATACAGAAAAGTCATTATTTTATTATTGAAAAGCATGATTTTTATATCTCAAATTTATTATTGTTAAAAATGCTAAATAATGCAAAATTTTTAAATAGTGTTAAATTTATTTTTAAATTAGTTAATTAAATAAATATTATTTTAAGTAATTATTATAAAAGTTTGATGTATGAAAAATACATCTTAAAACTTACCCAAAAAATTAAAATTTATACATAATCGAAAAGAAAATATTCTTTTCACGATTTTTAGGAAAACTTTTTAAAATTTTACAAAGAATTAAAAAAAGATTTTAATAGACAAATAGAGTATATCACAAACCAAAAACTCATATCATAAAGATAAATGCATGAATCATATGCTTAATGGCAATTACTTTAGCAAAATAATCTAGCAAATACTTAAAACACTAGTATCAATCCCGTGCTTCGCACGGGCTCACATATATTCTAAATTTTGACATCTGAAAATAAAATATGATTTATTTTAAATTCTTTATTAATGATATATGATGTGTTTGATAAATAATTTCTAACTATTTTAAAGTTTTATACAAATGTAATTATTATCAAATAAAAAATAATGAAAATCATTTTAATTAATAAAAATTAAATAAAAATGTTAAATAAATCAGTTAAGTAATGACACATCATTATAGAATGCATATCTGGCATAAGCCACATGTAATCCTTCAATTAAACTTTCACTTTGTTTAGTTTGATAAAAAATATGTAATAAAATAAATAATGTAATAAGACAAAAGATTAAAATATGTTATGTATGCATGTGTGATAAAATTTGTATAAAATAGTTTCTTTTGAAATGATGGATAATTTTAAAAATTATAATAAACATTTTTTTAATTAATAAATTTTATAAAATTTCTTTAATATTATAAAATAGTCGTGCGTATTTAAAAAATATGTTAAAATAACAAAAAATATTTCTAAAATAGTTAGAAAGTGAAAATTTTATAAAAACAAACAAACATAAGGGTTTTTTATTGTTGGAAAGTGTAGGGTTTATAAAATATAATAAAAATAATGATTTAATACAAAATTAAATATGCATGTGTGGAGTGACATGTGTCTTGTGATTCACATGTGGCATGACATGTGTTAGTAGTATGCACGTGTGGCATGACACATGTCATCACCATAACTATGTAACTCTCTTTTACATATATATATATAGGATAGGATAGGATAGGATATATAGGATATATAGGATATAGGATAGGATACGTCTTAAAGCATATGATTTTCCTCCTATTTCACTACCAAATGGGACTGAAAATTTTTTTCAATTTGATTTCAATTCTCTCCCATTTTCTTCATATTTCTTTTCTTATTTCTTTACAACCAAACCCGAGAAATTTGTCAATTTCCTTTCTATTTTCTTCCTCCATTCTTCTCACTTTCCTCCAACCAAACATAGAACTAATGTAATTGAAACAGTACGTAGCAATCAGTACGGCCCAGATTTACTATAGATCGGATTACTGGTGCGAGCCCAAATTTGTAGAGTTATTACATGTTCTGTGGTGGACCTAAGGTCCACATGAACCTTTTCACACAATTTTTTAAATTTTCTTAAATAAATGTTTATCTCAACAATTAGAAAATGCTTACCTAGCATATATGAAGATCCACCATAGATCTTAAATGCATGCAAAAATTTGCTTTCAATACATGCCCCTTTGAAGTTAATTTTTTTGTTTAGTTTGAGCATTTTAAAAATCTTGAAGAATTTGTTAGTAAACATATTTCCAAAACTAATTCGCACTAATAAAAAATTACTTAAAACACTAACTTTTTCTGTTTTGCATATGTTGGTCAGTGACCCCCCCCCATGATTACATTACACGGAGAAAAATAGTTAAGAAATGATTCATTATAGGACTAAAACATAGCACATATCTTCAAAATAAGAGTACCTATTTTTATGTTCAAAATATGACCAAAATTATTCTAACAAATAATAATCCTTGCTCGCACGACTTTTGAATTAATAAAAACAAACCACCACGCGCACGATCTATCACTCTTCCGAGTTCCATTGTCGCCCACTTCTCTCACTCCCTTGTACCACTGCCACCGCACTCTTCGAAGATTCGCCACCCAATTGCAGCGCTCAATACCGATTTTCTGCTGTCACCATCCATTTGCAACGCCATCGCCCCCTATATGCACCCCACCCCTCTTAGACTCGTCGTTGCTTGCTCAGCACCATCTTCTTCTGTTGTCCATTCCTTCTTCAATCTATTCAATTGTCGCCGAATTGACGTCTCCATGCACCCCCACCCCTTTAAATTTGTCACCGTAGTCATGCCATGCCACCCTCCCCCCCCCTCCAGAGCCTTGATTTTAAAAGTGAGTGATTCTCTCTCTATCTATAATTGAGTTTTATTTTTTGCTGAATTTTTATTCGATGTTTTGGGATGGTGAGGCACAACGGGATCCACCACTATTGGGGGCAGTGGGTCATCCAGCCGTCATAAAGGCATGGTGGCCGTGGAAAGAAGGTTGATGGTTGTTGATAGTCGTGCAAGGCATTGAGTTGGATTTGGAACCTTCTTCGTGTAACATTATGAATTCACATTGTGACATTATATATGAACTTCTGTGGCATTATATTTTGTCATATGTGTCATTATTTGGTTCCATGTTTGGCAATATGTCTTCTTTCTGTTAGACAAGGCATGCAACTCTAGAGGGGGGGTGAATAGAGTTGTTGATAATGTTTACCGATTTTCGCAGGATTAATAATATAAACGTAAGTGCAGCGGAAATAAAATAAAGAAGGCAAAGAACACACCGATGTATACTGGTTCACCACCTCGTGGCTAGTCCAGTTCCCCGAGAGACTCTCTCGAAGCTACCACTACTTCCGTTAAGCTTACGGGTGCTTAACAAACCGTTTGCAACTCGAGAACTTGAATCCCACAAGCCTCGACACAACCGCTCGTAGATATGCCGTCTACAAGACTTCACAACCAAGACTTAAATCACATAAGCCTTGAACAACAAGAAGAACAATCTTCTTCAACCTCTCAACAATAGCTCTCAAAAGAGTAGATAAGAGAAATGATTAAGGCTCTAATGGATGACAAAACACTCTCTTAAAAACAAATAGTTTTCTCTCAAAATATATCAATTTGAGGAAGAAATGAATGGAGGATTATAACCTCAAGATATGGGAGTTTAGGAGTGCTTGTTCTTAAGAAAAATGACCAAGGAAGAGTGTTTAAATAGGAGG